AAGGGAGATACAGACGAGAGGTGATTTCCATTTAAGTCTCTGTTGGCACATGCACGTGTACCCCAGGAACGTTATATGCAGGGTTGCTGGATCACACAATGATTGGTGTGTGTGTGTGTGTGGGTGAGATATGGATTGGTGAGCCCTGTAGAAGGTACCTCAAGAGGGGTGCTGACTTACGTGGTCAGCATTTTGGGATTTTCCCCTCATTTGCAGGTTGTTTTTTTTTTCCTCTGGGCTCTCTTTCCTCCGCTAAAGGAGCCCGTGCACTTCTGATGATGATGATGATGAGTTAAGCACCGTTACCGACTGCACATGGGCTTGTGCCCCTCCACACATGGCCATCGTCGATCCGACTGAGTTCGTTTGAAGGACACACGATGATGACGATCCCCAGGTGAGGCCTTCCTGGGAATATCACTACAATACTAATCTGTGAATCAAGCCGAATTGATTTAAGAAGCCTGACTGCTGACGAGAGCCAGAATGTCGAAACCGGTGCAGAGGTTCGCTCGATTTAAACGAATTATGCTCGATAAAATTGGTCTGCGGAGTCGGTGTGGACTAAAACACTTTTATTTGTGTGCGAAGGCATCTTTGCTTTTCCATTCGGAGAGTCAAAAGTTGTGGATGGCACCGGGGAAGGCCATTCCAGGCTGTGAGAAAGACTTTGAAGATGGAAGGGAGAGGAGGCAGTCTTATCGTGCTGAGATTGATGAGGATGGATGGCTGACAGAGGGGATGTGTTTGCTGTCGTGGAGGAAGGGGGGGGGAGGAGGAGATATGAGGTCAGTAGTCAGCGGGCACGCCTCCGGTGACCACAGTTGGCTACGTACGGTGCGAAAGAAGTTCACCATGCAGGCGCGCGGTTCGCTTAGCAGGCACCGCTGGTTTAGACAGTAGTACTATAGTCACGCGAGACAGTAAAACCTTGGATTGCGAGTAACTTGATCTGCGAGTGTTTTGCAAGACGAGGGAAAACATTTAATAAATATTAATTTGATAAACGAGCGAGGTCTTGCAATACGACTAGTAAGTATACGCTTTGTCTGTCAAGCGTCACGTGATCACAGCCGATATACGAGTGCTTTGATATACGAGTGCTTTGGATTACAAACACGTTTCCGGAACGAATTGTGCTCGCAATTCGAGGCTTAACTCTACGTTTAATTTGTGCTGCGTTCATTCTGGAGGTAATTTTCCCAAGCCGAATTAAGTTTAGCAATATTTTAAATTCTTTATCGCATGATTCAGTTGTTTTTCGTTTCTACATAATAATATTTTTTTTTTGCTAGTTGGTGACCCAGGTCCCTCTGCCAAATTGGAGACTATCTCCCCTGGTATCTGTAGAGTTCTCACCACCCGGGTTAAACAAAATCCAAAAAAATCGAAGGGTCCCCTGGGGGTTGGACGTCCGGACTGGTGCCACCCGTTAAATGAAGGCGAGTTTCGGAGCGCCGTGCGACGGAACACGAGGTGCCGCGGCGTTGCCGTACGTGCCCCTGCGATTCAGTGCGCGTCGGCTCCTGCTGACCAACAAATGAAGGTTTAATTGCTGCGTGACGAGCAATCTTTGTGGTGGGGGGGGGGGGGGGCATGTATACATTTGTGACAGCCAGGTGAACATTGAACGTTGGGCCAACAGTTCCAACCTCGTGCCAACGTTGGCCAAACGTTGGCACGTTTTTTTTACTGGCAGCGTGGATACGAAACGCGTGCAAGTGAGTTATCAACATCAAAGTCACTGTCCAGGTAGCTGTGTTCTGATACATCATACGACGGATTGTACGTTCACTGTTTAGATTCACATCGTGCAGACATGGCACCCGCGGCTATCGTGCATTTTGCATAAATATTCCCCCTACGAAAAAGTTTTTCCTGGACCACAATCGTTTTATTAATGCAGACAAAATCTCAGACTTGTACGTAGCACCAAAATATTTCCAGCAGTGGGCCCTTATCGTCGGTGCCTCTCGGCAACATTCATTTTAAGCAAAGTTAAAAGCACATAGTTTAATCTGTGTTCTTTTTTTTATTATCCACGATCTACTAAGGGCATCACAATGAGCTAGTAATTACATACCAGACCCTATTGTAAGTATTTTTTTTGAGGACAGCAACAGAAAAATGTCCAAGCTGATAGTGTCCCTGTTGTTAGGCTTGGCCACCTGTTTCCGTAACTAAAACAACTTGAGCATTGCCGTGATTTTAAATCTGTGATGCTTTGCCGACCGGCTGACTTGTGAAACTTGTGGCACAGGTGGCAGCAATTGTACGATTTGCTTAGCTTCCGAGTGGACTGGTTTCGCACTAAATGAGCCTCTATTACAGCAGTCCTGGAAGGTGGTTATGGGTACGGGCGGTGAGCCATTTTATTTCTAGGCCTGCTGTAAAATTAGGGAAATTTGTGCTTCAAAAGCCCCATCATATTTGAACAATGTTCCGGAGTTTGAGAACACAAATCAAAGCACTGTACAAGGTTATGGTCAATAGCTTAAACAATGTACTTTGTTTTCTAAGTATGTGAAGCACAGTCAATCAGTAGTGACCGCCTTGGGTCATATGAGGCCTTCCAAACCAATGAGGTGTGCCCGAGCAGTCAAATGAAATTGTAAAAAAGTTTAAAGCCAAACACATTTTGTAATTGAATTGGCAGCTGGCAGAGGGTTTTAAGATTTCGAATGACACCTCCACCCAGTAATGATTGTGCTATAAGATCGATTCTGCCGACCCTGTGGCATAATTGACACTATTAGGCATTAGTGCCAACGCCACCTCATGTGTCATAACCTATCATTCGAAAGACATTTTTTGTAATTTCTTTCTCCGCAAAGATGCCACGGACCCTTAAGTCATACAAATGCACTTGCCAATGGGAACATCTGCCTTTCGTTAGATCTGTCCTCTCCAGATATATTTGAAGATCATCCCATGCAATACATTGCACCGCAGGCTTAAGGTCCGTGGCCAAGGACAATATGCCCTTGTGAAGTGTGACAGTGTTACATAACCCCAAGGTTGTTGATGCGCACACGCACACACGACGCCTCGTTTAACAGGGTCCCGGGCACTCGGGAAGAGTTCTGCATCGGTTGCACAACGGTGGTGACGAAGGTGGATACTAAAGGATTGCAATCTCTCAATCTCAACAGATGTTAGTGCACAGAAATGTTTCCTGCGGAGGAGGGGGGGGGGGGTGGGGAGTGTGATTGAGTGCCCTTAGTTCACTTCATCTCTGCCCCTTGCTCATTCCAAGTACGTTCGCAAAAAAGAAAATTGGATGGCCGAACGGCGTCGTCATGTGGACACGTATGAATTGTCACCTCGTATCCGAAATGGCCTGGGCCTTTTCTGGGAAATAATCTTCCGTAGGAGCGCCTGCACGCGCACACACACGCACACACAAATGCACGGCACAACTTAACAGCGGGCCTTGTGGTGGGCTTTACCAGGGAACTTGCCAGACTTTATTTCAGCTGGTAATGCCCACTGAGCTTTTGGCAGCTCTTTTACAAGGACAACCAGGGGTAGCAGCAGCGTGGGCATGGTGGTAACACTCGCACCTCGCAGCAAGAAGCACCTGGGTTTGATTCCGCGCCTTCGCGTAGAGTGTGTATGTTCTCCCCCTTGTTCTGCATGGGCTTCCTCTGGGTTATCTGGTTTCTTCCGAAGGCTACAGAAAAAAATATTACATGATTGGTGTTGGCCAAGCATCCCAGGCAATGCAGGGCCCTCCTAAGAAAGTCTTTGGACTGTGTGTGGCTTTCCCCGGGGTGAATAATTAATTATTAAATTATTATAATAAATATCTTCTCGTTATTCTGTCTATTTAAGTTTCTTCTTGTACTATATTTGTATTACCTTATTGTTATGCTAACATGATTATATATTTGCACAGTAATGTGTTTAAATATGCTTGAGAATCTTGGGGTTCTGATCCCTGGCTTCCGTTTCGGATGAAGCCGGCTGCTTCGTGTGTGGCGAGGCAGTCCTCCCCAGCGGCTCTGCGGGTCACCCAACATCTACACTCTGAATCTATGAACTTCTTGTTTCGTCTCGGGTGTGGACCAATCAAATTCAAGGACAGTGCATATTATTATCAGAGTTGTCTTTTTTGTTTGCATTTTGACTGCTTGTGTTGTGGTTATTGCAAACATGATGCCTTGAATAAAGGTGTCAGTTTTTGTGCCAGTTAAAAGGGTAATACCTATTCCTATTTCTTGTTTCGTGTAAATAACGTGTTTGTTGTTGTTGTTGTTTGCGCTCCGGTTACGTTGCATATTCCCCTCCCCGCAATGCCCTGTCACTGCCGCCACCACCGCTGACGGTTCTTGAGCTGTGGTCGTCCTTGTAACAGACCTGCTTGGCGCAACGGGGCCTTACCCGCTAAAATAACGTCTTGGCTATAGTTATGCTAAACTCGGCCTCGAAGATATTCCGCGAATATGCATTTTGGAAACATTTCTTATGGTACAGTGCGACACACTGTGCATGAGACAGAACCGATGAGGATTTGCAGCACATGGTTTCGTAGTCATTTCACATTGTGACACGTGACCCTGCTGTCAGAGCAGTGTGCACGTGCACAGATACAAACGGATTGGTTGGCACTGCCAGGAGATTCGAGTTCACCGACAGCATTGGCTAAGACAGGTTTGCACAATGTGCCGAGTTCAGTAGGACACGCGGGTGCAAGCCCACAGATCCTCTGAAATATTAATTTTGTTATCAAATGTAAAGTCATCCCGATTGTGCTGTCGGCATCATGTCGCGCGAGACGCCTCCCCTCCGGATCTCGGAGCGGCACGACCCTTTGCCTTAACACGTGAGAGTTTGCCGCTTGTTCTCAGGAGAGCGCCGCGACCGTTCGTTCGTTTGCACGTTCTTGCGTCCGCCTCCGCCCTCGAGAACTGAACCGTCCGTCCCATCGTTGCGCCCGTGGCGATCGTTTGTCCTTGCCCTCGAGAGTACTGACCGTGCGCGCGTTCCCCGGCCCCCAGGTGGCGACCGGCTACGTCAGCACCAGGAGAACAGCGCGACGCGCACCAAGGTGGAGCACCTGCAGCTGCTGATGCGGCAGCGCAAGCTGCGGCGCAAGCAGCGCAGGGACTCGCGCGCCCCCTACCCGGGGGCCGGCGGCGCCGGGGGCCACGACGGGGCGGTGGGGGCAGGGTGGGGCGGGGCGGGCTGCGGTGGGGCCCCCGGGGCGGCCGGAGGGCAGCGCAAGGCCGGGCGTGCGGGCAGCGAGAGCAGCGTGGCGAGCGACGCGTCGGGCCTCGACCTGGAGCTGGACGATCAAGCCGTGGTGGAGAACGGGGCGAGCAGCGGCGCGTGGGCCAACTCCGCGGAGATGGAGCCGGAGTACGTGGTGGCGTGAAGCGAGGGCAAAGGCCGAAGAGGAATTGAATAGAATCGACGGCAGCCGAGACAACTGCAGCAGCAGCAGCAGCAGCAAAGAAAACATGCCACGACCGTTTGTTTAAAGGAAAGATGAGTGGGGCTGATTTTTTTAAGTAAAAATTGGCGGTGACGGAAGTGGAATTTGAGAGCGACATGAGCCAGGCTCTGGGCGAGCCTGGCGGGGTTTTTTTTTTTATTTGTTCCCGGTGTCGCGTTTGAGAGTCGTGTTGTAGCTGCGGCGCGCGTGCTCGAGTTGCTGGAGAGAGGTGCCATTGATTTGGTTTTGGTGGGTGGGGAAAGTGATTTTTTGTGTTTATTTAGTATCAGGCCTCGACCGATTTGGTTCAGGTGCAGCTTGCGGCGGCGTTTTCATACGACGGTGTGCGGGAGGTCTGCTCCGTGGCGTACAAAAATAACCTCTGCTAGGGGCAGAGCAAAGGAGAAAATCCGACTTGGCCACAAACATGGCCGCTCCAGTCACACTTGGGTCCCGCCTCACGTAGCATACGCACGCAAATATATCTATTACAATTTCTTAACAAACAAAATCAGATAAAAGTAAAAATGGAGGCATTGCAGTTTTCGTTTTCTTGATGAACCTGAGGTATAGAGGTTGTGTTTGTTGTCAGTAAAAAAAAAATTGTCAAATCAAACAGAGAGACTATATTGGCACGGGAGGGTGTCCTAATGATATTGAATGGCGGTGTATGTGTCCATTTTGTAATGCCTCGTTAGTGACAACGTGGACGCAATGTTTCGGCAACATGTTAAGAAAAAAAATGTTCTGGATTATTGAATTACAACTCAGAAACCCGCCATTAACATAAATGCATGTGTTAAAGTAGGTAACGGTAAGGAAGGAAATTCTCCATAAAGATGGACTCGAGTGTTGAAACCCGCCCTTGTGTTTGATTCAATAATAAACGTGTGAAGTTAATCGTGCTGCACAATGGATGATAGATGTTAACGCTCGTGTAATCGTGACGGGAAAACTCGTAAACGTTTCGGCAAAAAAGAAGGCTTCCTTTCCGATTCCCGTGAAACTTTAAAAGGGGGGGCCGCGCGTTTCACCGACGGACGCGGCGGCGGGGGAAATGACGCGGGAAAGAGTCGACGCGAATGAAAGAGGGAAAAGACAAACCGAGATCCTTGAGGAGGTGCTCCGTCAGCCCGGGGGTGTGACAACCCCTTTGTGAAACGGACACGAGGCAGGGGGGGGAAGAAAGCGGGTGGTTTGGGAGACAACGCTCCGATTGACGGCAAATTGCACGAGGAGAAAGAAAAAAAACAGACGTTTAAATGCTTGAAAAAAAAATGTGATACCGATTGAAACTTGTAACTGACCTGAGGGACACAAGTCTTTAACTTTGCTCAGGATTTACAAAAATCTCTTCCGTTCGTCAGCAAAGTCTCGGACCTACCAACATCAACAAGAAAGAACCGCCCCCGCCCCCCCCCCCCACGACACTTGAAACGCTAAACTCTCTAACTTCGTGCGACATCATCACGACAAGTTGTACACCCTACTCGGGCAAAAAGAAAATACTACCGTCTGCCACAATGTTTCGTTATTTTTGTGTCACCTGCAGCTGTAGTGAGCGGAGCGCTTTTATTCGAATCGCCCATGTCGTGCGTGTTGGGCAAAAAAATATATAATACCAATAACAATAATAATAATTAAAATAATATTGTACTGTCTGAATGCCGTAGATATTGGATGACTTTGTGCGGTTAGTGATTTTGCTCAGTGTACGTGTAGAAAATTGTGTACTATTAGTTTACGTTGCAGCCTCTGTAAAACTGAAATCGTTTCGGGAAGGCTGGGCTGTGTCGAACAGTAACGCAAGTTAAGAAACAGTTTCTGTCAAAAAACAACATTTGTTTCTATTATATATTCAGGTATTTTTTTCTTCTATGCTAGCATTACTCTATTAAGCACCAGGATTATTATTTTTGTTCGTTTCCCTTGATTTATTTTCATTAGACTCCCAACAGCACCCCCCTCCACCCCCATATGGCTGATCATTTTAAAATGATCCCTCCTACTTTTTTTCAGATAAAACAAATCATTATTGGCTCAAGCGTGCCCGCGATCACGTGCACGCACGCTGCAGTCTCACCCTCTCGCCGGCTTCTTTTTTTAAATATAAAGTTGCAAAGATGCACGCTATCTAGAAAAAAACGCAACAATAATAACACCACGCTCTCTCAAAGAATTAACTTCCAAACTTCAGTCTGTCGCACGCGGGCTCGCATCGCGCGCGAGCATCCCGTCAAATCACCGCGCGTTCTTAGTTATGCGGCCAAATGGTTTAATTCACATACGTTGATTTACTCACTCCACAAGTGAAACACCGTCACGACCCATCGGGTGTTCGCGACGTACACAACTGCAGGTCGAAGGTCACGTTGTGTTTCTTGTGTGCCGGCAAGTTCAACGAAAGTGAATCGCAGTGCCCCTTGGCTGCATAATTCACAACTATGGCAAGCCTTTCGTGGGTCAGTGGTTATCTCCTTACAAGCCTCTTTTGATGTTGCAATATGTTAGACACAATAATAATAATAGTGACCACGATAGTAGCATTAGTCTTTCCAAATCACAGGTTCCCCCTCCCCGTGGTCTGATGCCCGTGTAATGTACATTTTTGAAATCTTATTCACTTGTATCAAGCTCATGTACTTGTACTGAAATGAATATGCTCTTGGGTAAGTCTGTGTCTGAATATGAACTGCACGTGATAGAAGCACAGAAGTGCCGTTTCCCTCTCATTGTACTTGTTCTTAAGGGTTGTATATACACACACACATTTCCTTCGTCACTAGTTTATTTTTAAAGGCCTTACAGAGTCTATGGACTAAGTTCAAACACCACCCTCAACTCTATGTTCTCCTGATGATGATGATGTGCTTTCTGTGACTGTTGTTTTTGGACAAGCTCAGAATACTGGGGAACACGATGTCAGGAAGCCGCGCAGCAAAATGCATCCTCAGAAGTAAAAACTGCTTTAACAAATTGCTCGCGAGCGTCGGCGTGACTCCGTTGTGGCCGCACGTCGCGGGCGGCGGCTCCTGCCCACGGCGTCGCGACAAACCCAGCGGAATCGGTTCACGAGGGCCCTCGCGCGACTGACGACGCCGAAAGCCCCAGCCCCAGCCCCAGCCCCGCATCGTCAGGTGACCTGGAATCCCAAGCGATTGGCGGCTTGCCTCATTGCCTTCGTTTCGTCAATTCAACACCCCTCCCCCCCCGCCGCCTCCCGCCTTACCCTCCCGATTGCAAATTGGTAATGTTTAATTTAATAATCGATCATGTAAAAAAACGTCGTTGGCAATTTTTTGGGTTTTTTTTTTTTCCCAAACAAAAGAGGCCCTTGCACACGTGGTCTTGCGCAGGTGGTCTTGCCTGGGTCGCTCTGCGAAAGCCACGTGGCCTTTTTCTTTTGTGTTGCGCTGGGGGAATTCAGGGAATCGCACCAACCGGAAAGAGGAGGAGGAGGAGGGTGCGTTTTTTGCTGCGCGGACTTCCGAGTTTTGTTTGTCCGTGATTGCGTCCCCTGTGCCGGCAGTAGTTTGTTACGGTGCTCACCTTTGTGTGTTCACGTTGTTGCTCATTTCTGGATGTTTGTGGATCGTTTCTCAGAAAGGACGCCCGTGTGTCATTCGTGTGTGTGTTTAATTACAAGGAAAAACAGACACCCCACCCCCTCTTGCACGACCCGTACGCCTGCATAATCGATGGTGAATGATTTGCAGGTTACGCATTGCCAATGATCCAGAGCCAAACGTGCAGCATTGTGTATCTCAAGTCGGTTTGATCACTCCGCAGACAAATCTGCGCACGGCATTGCTATGCTCTGCGTGGCAATGCATCCCCGATTGTGAAGAAGCGTTCCATCAGCCGGCATGGTACACTCCAATGCATTGACACCTCTTATATATATTTAAAAAAAAAACATTACAAAAACATAAAGCCTGACCCTCATTCCGTTGTGAATGGATCTGGAGTAAATAGGCCAATTTCAATATAGTTTTACTTCCCCCGAAATTGGACGCAGATTTCTGACAGGTGTAAGAATATAAAAACAACGTGTTGTTTTCATATGCACTCTAAAGACTGCTTATGACAGCCAGACACTACGATACAAAGTAGATTAGTAAATGCTGTCCACAAACACGTATCCTCCGTTAATATGCTGCAGCTGCTATTTTGACGGTAAACACCCCAACCAACATTTCTGATGGAGGCCGTCTTCCACCCCCCCCCCCCCCCCACAAGTTAAAATCATTCACTGGCAGAGCGGTCGCTGGAAAATGTATCAAAGATGTGAATGAGGGTGCTAGTCTTTTTTTGACTTCTAGCTTGGCCCTCGTCCCAGTAGTTTTAAAAGTGAGCAGCGTTGCAGAAGGGGCGTTTGACACACAAATTTGCTTTCGCCTGCCTGTGCGGCGTACCTCCTGGACGCGCGACACGGAGGCAACAGAAATGTGCAGGAACACTAGGGCGACGAGCCCCGTCCGAATGGAGGCGCCGTTCTCGGAATGGAATTGTGAACGTCGCGGAGACGAGAAGATCCATCCAAACCGATGAGTTTATAAAATGTGTCTTCGCTGCGTGCTCCGGTGACCGGCCCCGGATGGTGGCAAGGGCGCTACGTCACGTGTGAGCACGTGATGTGGAAAATGAATAGGAAAATCCGAAAACAAATCTTATTCAGAAATTGTCAATTTAGTTTGGAAATCTGATGGTTAAATCCAAAATCCTAGACTATGATATACACACACACACACACACGGCTATAACGTGCGTTTAAATTAGCACCGCGTCCCTTGTGGATTAAACTTCTCACCCGCGCACCACCTTCACACGTGCAGCAATATTTTTGAAAGGCAATCGGTCTGATTATCGTTTATTCCCGTGTTCTAAAGGGAAACTAAAATTCGAAATGTTTTTTTTTCTTCCAGCAACATGATTACTTTCATAATCTCTTCAGATTGATACATAGTGATAGGTTGATGTCAGATATAACAATACTATTATGACTGCAGACCTTAGCATGATCGATATGCATTGGTTGCTGCTGGGTTATTTTTCAGAGTACATATTTAAATGTTAAAAATGACCGTAATCGTACAAATTTTATCTTACACACACACAGATTACACACGGAAAAAAAAAACAGTAACCTCCTTTGGCAATATTGACGACATTGGAGCCTTAACTCCCAAATACCGGCCAGGTCAAGGAGAGCAAAATGCTATAAATGTGTGTTAAAAAAAACCCGCATGCGTAGAGAAACGGGTCAAAGGTCAAAACGTGTTCTGCCCCCTTGAACAACGTTTTGTCGTCTCTGCCGCCATTCCCAGCAGTGAAACTTTTGTGTGGGGCACATCGCGTGCATGCAAGCCGGTTCCCTCTCTCGCCGCTCGCGGCGTTACACCGCGCGGAAATTCTTATTCGTTTGTTTCCTGCCTGGCTCTGCGGACCTTCACTATTCATGGGACAATGCAATACTCTCATCTGGCTCCTTGGCATAAGTGCAATGTCAAGCAATTTTCTGCAAAGGGAAAAAAAAAACATGAGAATACAAAGGAATGGAAATGATTACAAGCAATAGGAACTTTTGTTCTGGTGTTCTTAATTTGACACGAGTACAGTATTTGATGTATTTTAACCGTTTGGTTATTTTTTTTATTTTCCCATTTTAAATAAGATATACTGTAACGGTGTACTGTATGACATGCGGAATAGGTTAGATGTTTTCCGTTGTGTGTGCTTCAATGTATAAACGCTGGGTTAGTAGTCTTAAACGGCACAATGAATTTACAAAAAAAGTTTGCAATTTAAACATAAATCAGTTTATTGTTAAATAAGATCATTTCCAAAAGGCATAGAGCACTGATGGATGGCAAATTACAATGGCAGTCACGGCGATAATGCCGTCAAAGTCTGTGAAAGAAAAATCACTGCGCAACTGAATACTTGATGAAGAATAGGTTTACGCTTTGGCAATGCGTCGCACCACCCATGTTACGGGGAAAGGCCCAGCTGCAAACTGATGTCTCAGCTCCTTCTGCTGCCACCTAAATTCGGACTCCCAAATCCAAATTATTTAGCGGACACCATTTTAATGAACACCACTCGTTGTTTGCAATCAAACGAAAAGTATGACCCACAGAGCTGGAATTTACCCATTTAATTAGAACCCCAAATTTTAATTTGGTGGGGGGTTTAACAAAACAGAATTTGGTCCAGTAACCGCGCACTGGAGCTGAGACCATCAACTCTTCTGAATACTTGAGATCATGGTGGCTTTTATTTTCTCACGTGGGGTTGTTACCTTGGCCAGTTTGCAACCCAGATCTCGCTTGTGCGCGATGAGGGATGTCACACGGAAACTACCGAAACGTAAAGCAGTTTTAATTAAAGCACCTGCCCGAGAACCCGCTGCCTTTGCCATAAATTGAGCAACTGATGTTCAAATTTGGACTTCCCTCCCTCCCCCCCCCTCGAGTAAGTTCGTTGTGCCGCAGTAGTTGCTGTGTTCCATCACTGGTGTGTTCTTAGTGTCTCAACGAGATGTGTTAACCCCTCTCCAGAGCATTACTCAATTTCTGTCCTGAAGCCTCGCAATGGCGGGACAGCGTATGAGTGTGTGTGTGTGTCTGTACGTCTATAAGTAGCTGTTAAACATTCTGACTTGTGGTAGGGCTTAATGTTTTTTTCTTTTTTTTATTAATTACTTTTTTTTTGTACGAGTATGTTGCATAATGAACTGATGTAAAATCCACAATAAACAAAAACGTGAAGAATAAACACACAGACGCTTCGGGCCTGAGTTATTTTTTGGGCGAGGTTGATATTGTGCCCTCTATAAGTGTGTGTGTGAGAGTGAGTGTGTGTGTGAGAGTGTGTGTGAATGAGTGTGTGAGTGTGCGCGCATTTAAAATACCTGAACCGGTCCTGGGCCTCTCCGAGGCCGACTCGGCCTTTGATAAGTACCTGGTGTGGTGTGTAAACGTCACCACTCTGGAGACAAAGCTGGCTGGGCATGGTGGAGGACAAGCCACCCCCCTCGCATGCCTTACCGGATTGCATAGGTGCTCGCTAACAGCACTTGCCTCAACAGTCTGTGTAGGCTATACGAGACATCTTTATCTCAGACTTTGTGAGCACCAATCAGGTCGTCAGCAAACGTAATGTGGTTGATGAGTAGGGAGCCATCCCTTGACCACATCCGAGCATCGATCAGCCTCCCAATATGTCCTTACCAGATGCAAATGTCACCCTGCTACCATGGAAGTAGGAGCCAGAGGACATCCCTGCTGCACCCCAAGGTGAACAGTACTCATGGCCATAGCCTTACCCAGGCCTGCCCTACAAAAAAGGTCCTGAAACGATGATTCATAGATTTTTGGGTTTGGCCACGTGATGATCCGGACAAATCGGCCAAACGAATGAAACGACCTCGCACACAGGCGTCCCAACGCGCCAAATGATTGTGTCCGCTCACTGGCGAGTTGACGAATTCTCGCAATTAAATTGGGCGATTAGATTATGATGACGTTTCACTTGAAGAGCGTCTTGGGCACAAATTTGACCAGATCATTGTGGCCGAACCCAAAAGCCAATGATGGATTCTGAATATTTGCTGAGAAATTATACGTGTTCAGTCAATAATGGTTATGAGCAGGTGGGGTCAGGAATGATTAAGGCACAAAGATTGACCTCCAATTAGCACCATTGGCTATGTAGTTTAATGTACGTACATATACATACTGTTTGTCACAATAGACCTGGACCAGGTCTTTCATCCCTCATTATTAATGTCGTCCTCACTCTCATCATGAGCAACATTATCGTCACCTTCACCACCCTCAAAGCCATCGCCCCTTTCTATCAGCCATTTATATCAACCTCTTCTGTTAAAAGACCAAACACTTTACCATTATCACTTCCATTACAAACATCGCTACCATCATCATCACTCTCATTACACAAACATATCACCGTCCTCACCATCACCACCAAAGAGAAAGATCCCCCGTATATCCCTAATAACATCTTGCCACTGTGGCGATATGTTAAACGACCATGGATACTGTGACACTCCAAGGTTCAACAGAGCCAATAGCCAAGCAGCTTAACCGGGACCTGCTCAACAACATGAAGGTCCTTAACGATGATGTGTGGTTATTATTTGGCTTCGGGCACGCGACGATCTGGCTCAGCTTGTGTCATTGAGACCCTCCACCAACTGACACAGCCAAACAGATAAAGATTTTCCATGCGCGAGCAAGTAAATGCAACGCGCCAAATTCGTATTGCTGATTGGATCCAGATTGCTACACCTCTAGTCAGCCGTACGGGCGGAAAGTTCAGCTTGATGACTGAATTAGTTGACAGCACAGAACACTCGCTCGCAGATTACGTGAAGCCGCGTGTGCGGTGAGACCGACACGCCGTGCACTTCGGTTTGCCCGAGTCACCGTGCCCTGATACCGAGAAATGTGGGAACAAACGTGATGTATTTTCAACGGCGTCCAATTGAATACGGGGCCGGTGATTATGACCGTGTGCTCACTTACAAGCGTATTTTCATCACGAATTATCTGCTGTTGCTTCCAACTACAACTTTGAGTTCATCGTAGAGGCAATTAGTTGACCGGGGGGGGGGGGGGGGGGGTAAAATGTGGGAACTCCCCACCTGGCGAGATGTTATCTCCCTTGCCTGGTGTGCAGGAGGTCGTTGAATCAATCCCGATCCTGACGCCTGTATATTTGGAGTTTTAAAATTCTCCCTGCGGGTTGTCCTCTCCACATTTAGAAACATACCTATTTGGCTGCTATACACATTTCTACATAAACCACTTCGTTGAGCTGTCATTTGTGAAAGCCAACCCCACCTCTGCTTCGCAGGGATTACCACCGGGCCGCAGTTTAAAATCCTTTCTCTATCCGCTGTTGTATTAATGTGTCCCTGCACCATGTCGGTCATGGGGTTTGTATGAGCATACTTCACCACGATGGTCAGTGTGGCTCTGTGGAACCGGGGGTAACCCAGGGCCAGTTTAGATCGAACTGGCCACTGATGTTAGCCATGGCTAGGACGAGACCCGCAGGCCGCTGCACCACACTGCGCGGCTTATAGTAACATTGCATCGGCTCGAAGGGTCAAAGTGTCTCTCCACTCAAGAGATTGCGCAACGGCGCTCGCCGTCGGCCTCACGGTTGGGAACATTCCATAGTCCTGTGGCAGATGTTAGCCTCGTGGCCCACCGGTCTTCGTGGCCAGATATTTACCACATCACATCACAGCAGTGACAATTAATGACGCAGCGGCAGCCGTTGTATGCTGGGAATACCGCCGTGTTGAATGCGATTGGAATAGATTGATAGGCAGACCAATCACCAGCGCCTGGATTAAGATCTTCTCCTGTGGTGGCCAACATCTGGGTGCCACGCCGATTAATATAATCCGTGACCTTGCCCCTCCACCCTGCACACGTGTCCCACCAAATATGTATGTGTGTTGAACTTCTTTCGTACCGTATGTAGCCGACCATGCTGATCGGAAGTGTGGGAGGGAAGGACAACAAACTAAACACAAAATGCATAAAATATGAGAGCACAACATGAAGAATATCGAAGATGCCACAACAGCAAAGAATGTAAGGAGCACATTTTTTGTGCGTGTTTAGTTTTTTTGGTCTTTCCCCCGCACCTCTGCTGAGCACGGTGCGGTGCGAAATAAGTTCTACATACATCCAAAAATGAAGTTGATGACTTTGATAAGTCACAAACGGTAGCTCCCTGATTGTCAAATATTAACCGCCGCAGATTTGCTGACGATGTAGTCATGACAGCAACCAACGAAAATGACATACAGAGAAAAAAAATGAAAGAACTTAGCAAAAAGGCATCAACGAGCTTGAGATATACACGAACAAAATAAAAGTGAAGTTCAACACCTTCGCTGAGCAAAAAGAAGACATTTTTTGGTGGGACGCAACTGCAAAACACAACAGAATGTTGATTTAAAGCTTTCGTGACTGCAGTGATTCATATTCTTGGTTCTTTCGGTGAAGTCACGTTGAAGGGAAACAATAAAACAGTAATATATATAAAACAATAACATTTTCACGACGTTTCGACTGAAACACCAGCAGTGATCATCAGGTGTGAAAACCAACGGCGTGAGAATTTTATTGTTTTATATTTATTTTATTGTTTTATTGTTTCCCTTCAACGTGACTTTACCGAAAGAACCAAGAATACTCCTTGGTTCTATTCGGTAAAGTCACTTAGGTAAAAAATAATAAAAATAATAAAACAAAGTCACCTACGTGACTTTACCGAATAGAACCAACGAGTATGGATCCTTGCAGTCACGAAAGCTTCAAATCTAGAACCAAGAATACAACAGAATGTGTAAAAATCTGCGGCAATCATTGAGGGCAAACCGGGAACAAATATGCCGAAACAAAGATGCGAACGAGAGCGGGTTGGACTCCTGAAGGAAAATGTGAATTGATACATGAAAAGCAAAAAATAAGCACGTGCCTAAAATGAAGAAAGTGTTCAATCAACGCATTCTCCCAGCACGTGACGACGGGGATTGGATACCGTCGTTGCTTACACACAAAATGGAACAAAATCTGAGGAAGAGAAAAAAACTACAGAAAGAGATATGGAGAGATGCATGCTGAGAATTGCATTGAGAGGCAGAAATAGGAACCAGTGCATACGGGAACAAACAAATGATTAGGGGACATCACATTCACACTCAGACTTTGATTTCATCTGGAAAGGCCCAATTGAGCCAGGGCGACGGCACAGCGCGAGACCGTCGGCAGTGGTGGGGGTGACATGGCATCACAGTGGTGGGGGTGACATGACATCACAGTGGTGGGGGTGACATGACATCACAGTGGTGGTGGGGGTGACATGGCATCACAGTGGTGGTGGGGGTGACATGGCATCACAGTGGTGGTGGGGGTTACATGGCATCACAGTGGTGGTGGTTACATGGCATCACAGTGGTGGGGGTTACATGGCATCACAGTGGTGGGGGTGACATGGCATCACAGTGGTGGGGGTTACATGGCATCACAGTGGTGGGGGTTACATGGCATCACAGTGGTGGGGGTTACATGGCATCACAGTGGTTGGGGTTACATGGCATCACAGTGGTGGGGGTTACATGGCATCACAGTGGTGGGGGTTACATGGCATCACAGTGGTGGAGGTGACATGGCATCACAGTGGTGGGGGTTACATGGCATCGCAGACGGAGCCGTCCCTACGCCACACGGTGAATCGGGACAACCGGCCCCGGGTCCCGCGTTTTGGGGAGGCCCCGCACTTTGACTTCACGGTGTCAGATGTAAGACTTACGGGTTTACTGATGAGGCCTGTGTGTCTTGGGCGACAATTATTTTGCGCCTTATGAGGGCAGCCGTGGGGTTTGCAGCGCCTAGAATAACTTAGTAGGCCAATTATTGGGTGGCAATCGTTGCCACGGCCATTCCGGTTTACTATTGAACTATTAACAGTTAACGTTTCATTTTATTTTACCAGGTAAATCCCACTGAGCTATTAGTTCTCTTTCAGAGGCGACCTGTCCACAAATGATAGCTCAACGAAAAGTCTTATCATGTGGAAATTCATAGCAGCAGCTCAAATACGCTAAAGTCTAAACGCATGTTTATAAATGTGCAGGGAAGAACTGAAGAACCCGGAAAAAAATCCACGTGGCCACGGGGAGAATATTCAAACTTGAAATATACAGGTATCAGGGTCGGGATCGAACCCACGGCC